TAGTCTGTTAGAATGGATTTATTTTTAAATCAAATGAGAGCTTGAGCCACAGATATTGGATCAGTAACTAGTCAGACTTAATTTGCCGTTTCTGGCTTTTCAAACAGCTTCTCAACACTTGGGTTTTGCACACTGGAGCGGGGAGATTTCTCTTGGATGTTCAGTGATTTTTAATTACAACTGTGTGATGTTGTTTTGCAATGGAAGCACAAAACTATGCAAATGAGTGATGGTTTCCTAGTTTGGTAATGAAATTTATACTCAAAGTCCATGCAAAAAGCAGAGGACTTCATTTCCTTTCACTTCCTTTAAGCACTCAACCAAAACTATTAAAAGGGATGCAGTACTGTCTTATTTGGGTTCAAGGGCCTCTTATTTCTAGTGAATGTCCAGTGGGCTTTAATGGCGCCTTCGTGGGAAGTGGCTGTGTGCACGGCAGTGCATTCTGGAATGAACCATCCAGGAAGGTCAGGATAAATTTCACTGGGAGCAGAAGCTGTATTGTTGCTATTACAGAATATAAGGGGGAACAAGTCCCATTCCCCTGAATATGCTGATTGCATACAGAAAATGTGCCTGTTTTGCTGCCCCCCTGAAGATGAGGCAGCAGGAGGGAACTCAAACACCTACAGCAGAGAGCTCCTGGAAGGCTAGATACTCAGTAGGGGTGTGCATAGCTTTGGTCGCTGATTCGATTCGGAGGAGATTCAGCCCAATTCGGTGGCCGAATCTCCTAATCTGAATCTAATCAGGAGACCCATTAATCTCTCCGAATCAAATTGGAAGCCTCCAAATCGATTCGGGGAGATTCAGTGATTCGGCCATAGACACAGCTTTATATGTTGTTTTTTTTCTATGTACCTCAAGGTCTAGGCGCAGTTCGTGAATGCAGAGATGGTGGGGTGGATGGAGCGTCCCACAGGAGTGCGGGGGAGTCCCCTACGTGCTCAGTGGCAGACTCAGAAGTGGACCACTTCCAGTCCTCTTCTGGGTCCGCTGCGGAGCATGTAGGGGACCGACCCCCTGCCCACCGGCTTGGCAACTGGTGCATCCTGGGTCTGGGGGGGCACCCAGGGTCCCCACACAGCCAATTGCTGAGCTGGGAGGGTACGGGGGGGTCCCCCGCATGCTCAGCAGTGGACCCCCCTGTGCTCCTGTGGGACACTCAATCCAACCCACCATCTCAGCATTCAAGAGCTGTGGTACCTTGAGGTACATAGAAAAAACATATAAAGCTGTGTCTATGGCCAAATCACTGATTCTCCAAATCAGAATCAAATCTTCAGATTCAGATTTGGCCAAATCAAGCTGGGAAAATGACCCAAATCAGTGAATTGAATCACTGTCCCCTGAATTGGGCCAAATCCAAAACTAATATTCCCCACTTCGCACACCCCTAATAATCAACTGTCTGAGGACATGGTATGTGAATTGTATGGGTCCCCTGCCTGCTTGAAACAAAATTACCAGTTTTGACTCATGACAACTGTGAGAGCCAAAACCAGCAAGTTTTACATTGTGCCATTTTTAATTACTTCCGTATGTTCTGAAAATACTCTGCTTGTTTTTGATAGGCTCTCCTGATCAAAACTATTAAAAAATGTGTTTTAAAAAAGGACATGTAGTACCTGGAGTTTTTGCCTGAGGCAGGGAGGGAGGTTCTTTGTGATCTTTAGCTGAACTCTTGAAAAAATACAAGCTGAAGTCTGGGAGTTTGCAATTTACTTCTAATACAGTAGAAATAAACACCAGCAGCCCTATCACCAGGACAAGGAGAATCTACCATCCACCTTAAATTTTATAATAATATGACCAGTAGCAAAAGAAATCATCATTCTCATCTAGAAGCTTTACAGCTGAAACTAATTGGAATTTTTTTGACAGAACATCTTTCTGGCAGAAAATGCCAATGCATTAAAAGTACTGTAAAATATTGCATGAGAATGTGTTAGTTTCAGCAAAACTTCTCAAGAAACCCAGGTAGGTTTGCTGGCTGGCAGAAACGAGCCTGATTTTCTCAGAGCTCTCCTGCCACCTGCCTGCTGGCAGTTTGCAAGGTGACATATCAGTCTCCTAGGTATGCTGCTTGGCATGCTAACTGCAGAGTTGGGCTCCTGGGCAACATATTTCATTTCGGAAGCATTGAAATGTCCTTGCTGTGTGAACACCTCAGTGTTCCCTAAATGAGCTTTTGAGGAATTTCACCTCTGTTGGAAAAAAATGAGATTATGGTTTTTCATTCCAGTTGAGATGAAAATTTTTCCAAAGCCATAACACTTTTCACAGAAGTGAAATTTTAATTTCCTGGCCAGCTTTGTTCTCAAATGACAGCTCTCTATCTAAACTCTTCTGTGCAACCTAATTGGGAAGCTAGAAAAAAGCTGCAGGTCAAGATTTAGCATGGTGACCATAACAGTGATTTTTTTCCCTGTTAGATTATACTCAGACTCCATGGAAAATGCACTGCCTCCTGCCTGGATGAGAGGAGCATCCAGAGCCTTTATCTGCAGTTACTGATTTTACAGTTCTCCACCACAATCTTCAACACCAGTATGAAACCTTTGGGAAAGGTTGTGACATCACAAATCTTGAAGGGACAGCAGTTCATGGACTGCTCTGTTCCTTCCATCTCTATTGCGTCAAATGTCTAAAAAATACTATTGATAAAATAATTAGATATTTCTCAGGTATAAAAATGGCCTCTTTATTTCTTTTTGCTTTCTGAGCCTTTAAAATACGTGAACTCCACAATTCTATGCATTCCTTGGCAATTGCAAAGCCTACATGCTATTTTAAAGGAAACCTGTGGGCTTTTTTCCCCCATGTGACAGTTTGCATCTTGCAGTGAAGTCTTTAAGGGGAACACTAAATATTTGTTATACTCACAATGAAACCAGGAGAAAAAGGAACATCAAGTTGGATCGGAGGAAAGAGACACAGTGGACAAATGAACTGAGGAGCCCCACAGTAGAGCATTTTAGGCAAACAGAAGGTCCTGTTACAAAAGCACACCTACATACATTCACAATCCTGGCTTGTTAACACACCTCTACGTTCCCACAATAGGTTCCTCAACTTCTGTCAGATTGCTTAGAGCTTTCCAGCGTCTTGGCTGCCTGTTCTCCTTGGGTCATTCAAGGGTATCTTGGTCCCTTTGTTCTCTAAAGTCTCCCAGCTCTCAGGGCAGCTGTTTTTAAATATTTGGTAGATAGATACATCACAGACAGAATAACTTAAGGATCTACTAGATAAAAAGAATAGTACTACTGATTTAGTATCCTAGCTGTTTGGGGTACAAACAGACATACTGTACGAGTAATTGCTCCTTCAGAATTTGCAATCTAAAGTCAGACAGACAAGAACACACAGAGGTAACGGGATAAATATAGAAGTAGAAAGTAAAGTTTCAGATTACTTTAGTACTGATGCTTATTAATGATTTGTCCTTTTTTTTGTAGAGCTTGTAGAAATGTAAAAATAATAAGTAAATGTATCAGGCTGTGAAATGGGCTTTTCAGACTTATTTTTTTTTAACTTGTCAAGAACATTTCAGTCAAATTCTTCCCTTTTTGAGACACATTCTCTTTAAAAAATTGAGGACTTGCAACATAATTAACTAAATTGTGTTTCTCATGTCTTTTTCATAACATATATTATGTCTTGGAGTATCATGAAGGCCCTTACACTTTTCAATCATAATTGCATGATAGCTTTGCAGCAACTATAGTGATTTGTTTACATGGAAGAACAAAATTAGGAAATTAATTTACATTTCCTTTTAGGCACCTGGAAATCAGGCACTGTGCCAGCTGATGCTTATATCTAATGCTCATGCTGCTAAGCTATTGCTAGAAACTTCTTTTCTCAACAAAAATCACAATCAAACAGGCTGAAATGTTCTTATTTTTCAGGATTTTTAGCTGAATTCTTGTGTTGGAATTTTAAATAAATGCCAATAGAAGTTTCTGAAGAAACTTTGGCAAACTTTTCCCTCTATATTTTGATCAGCATTAATTGTCAATGGGGACTTGCCTGTACATTAATTCTCCTTTACACTCAGTACAAAACCAGAAATTAATTTTCTTCTGAGAAGTCATTAGTACTTAATTAAAACTGAAATTATCTATCCTGGTAAAAATGCCCTGAAAGACAATGTATAGCTTTCAGTATTGCTGAGATGTACAGTATTAGGCAGGACATAGCCTATGTTAGTGATTCTCAGCCAGGGTGCTGGGGAACTCAAGGGTATCACTAGATCCTTTAAAGGCTGCACAGGTATAAGGAGGTAAGTGAGGTGTAAGGAGATAAGCAGATATGCACAGGCTCAGTCAGGCTTGTGCCTGTCTAATTAATCCCCTCCCCTCACTGCCTGGGCCCTCTGCAAGCAGGTAAGCATAAGCACTGTAATATAGAAATTAGCTTTTAAAATCAAGTGCCACTCAATTCACAAAAGTTATGGAGGAGTGCCCATTTCAAAAAGGTTAAGAACCACTGGCCTAGGAAATACTTTGAGATGTTTTAAATTTAATATTAAATGCTATATTCTAGAAGTATTCATTTCCTTCTGATTCATCATCAGAATTATGGCCCATTATTATAATCACTGTGCAAAAACCTGAAAAACCTCAAAGAGTTTATTGTGTAATTTTAGGAATGCATAGTAGTATATAAAAACATAATTATAACTAAATTAATTACCATAATTACAGTTAAATCTGTAAGTAGATTGATTACAGCTGACTTACTGAAAGAAATCATTCTCTAATAGACATGCAGTTAATTTTACTCACTCAAACACATAAGGTTACTATGGACTAGTCTCATAAAGCAGAATACTGGTTAATAAGGGTGTTTCCTTGTGCAAGTGTTACTGTGCTATCAGTTAAAATATAGCCTTTGTAATCCATTGCTTCCTAGTAACTGGTGTAGCCAGGATACAATAATGGCATTGCTTTATATTTGCTAATGTTTCTTTTCTGCATTTCTTTTTTCCTATTTAGTGGGATTGGTCGAAATTGGCCCTGGGCTTCTGGAGGAAGCAGTATTCTGGCAGAATTTGGAACTCTGCATTTAGAATTCATACATTTGAGCCATTTGTCTGAAAACCCAATTTTTGCTGAAAAGGTCAGATTCTTTAATAAAACTTTTGTTAAAGTAATGAAAGATTGCACCCAGAGAATAGATGTCCATGGTGTGAGATACAGGAGCAATTTCCTTAATCCTTTCAAGAAGCATGCAAATATTTTCTGTATGAATACTGTTAACTAATCCAGAGCACATGGTTCTTTATGAACAGGCTTTTTTCCGCATGGTTAGTGAGATTCATTTGTCATGGATACAAATTATTTATCAGGCCACATAACATTATATGAACAAAAATTATGGATAAGTTACAAGTAGATTAGACCTGTTCTAATAACTTGGCTAAGGTGAAAACTAAAAATGAATTTTATATACAGATAAAGTACTGTTCTCCTGAAGAAGCACAAAGGACTATGACCTTCCAGTAATCACTTCAGCACTTTTTTTTTTTTTAAATGCAGGAGGATGTCACTATTATAAATGAGGTCAGAAGGCTTTTCCATTAGACATCCCTCTTTCTAAATGTTTGTAATTTGGGGGGAAAATGTACCCTTTCCACATGGCATTTCTCATGCTGAGAGGTGGGGGGGCTGGTGAGGAGGCAGGGCTGAGCCATTTGCTGCCTAGTGGAGCAGGGGGCTTTCCCCTTCCCCACCTGCTGTGCAGACCCCAGCCAGCAGGAAATTTTTCCAAAACACGGTAACATTCTCCATTTCCACATCAGGGTAATTTTTTTAACTTACATTTGTGTGGCCCTTCATTTGCATTTAAATAACTACAAATAGCCTTCTTTAAAAACTTCATATTTTATGTGCTTGCATGTTCATATATTTAAAGAGAAATCATGTACAAGGAAGATTTCACATTCTTAAGTTTTTAGAGAACATTTTTTCTATATTAGTGTGTACAGTATTTCAGGTCCTGCTATACAGATGTACATTGAAACAAAGTAGATATGTTTGTTGAAATGGTTGCATTAAATACACTACAGTAATTTGAATGTCCTCACGTACAAGTAAAACATAAACTTACATACGATAAAACAGTCAGTTAAATATATTTATAGGCTGTGGATTCATTTGAATATGGGGTCATGATTTTCTTTTTCCTTTTTTCTTCTAAAAATTTCAAATCTCTGGATGAAATTTAGTACTTGATATATTTTTATTTAGAAATAAGTGCCAGACCCGTGTATACATATTAACTAAATTATGACAATCCTCTGTTAATTATATAACATTTTTAATGATGGGTTGGAAGCTGTATTTTATCTACAGCTAAAGAAGTTTCATTGAGTACTAAGAATAACAGGCTTCATGGACTGATTAATGAAATTAAAGCAAAATGTACAGTGTGATATAAAAGCCTGGTTTTAATTCTGGACCATCCAACTGGAATTCTGCAGACCATATGAAGCCCACAAACAGTTACCTTATAGCTCACAGACTCCTACAGCTGCCTCTCCCACTACCAGATGGTGGGGGCAAAAGCAGGGTGCAGGGTAAATGCCACCAGTGCATCCTGCAGAGCAGGGACCTGTCTGCCACTGGTGCTGCCCAAGGGACTATGTACAGCTGGTTCTACCTGTGCAGCAGAGGCCCATGTGCCACAGCACACCTTGCATAGTGTGGGGAAACCCAGGGGGTCCTGTCCCCACAGCATTTGACCTGTGAACTGTGCAGCTTGAGGGAGGTTGGACACTATGGCTAGGGACAGAAATTACACATAAACTGGTTAAATGGTTGGAAATCGGTCTAAACCTGTAACAGAACGAAAGTTCATTGCATGTAGACCAGTTTCAAAATGTCGGAATTGAGTGCAAGACAGATCTGGATGGATGTAGTATCAGATGGAATCACTTTAGGTTAGATGGGCCTATCAAACTTCTGTTCCAGATCGCCTCCTGACATGTTAGGTCACAGTCTCCCAGGATGCATTGCAGCACCCCACAAACCCCCACCCCCGGTTGCTGGGCAGGCTAGCCCAGCTCCTGTGCTCCAGCCAAGTCCAGCGGCACTGCCCCCAGGTTGTAACAGAGCTACGGCAACGAATCCTCTGCTCCTGAGCCCAGCTGACAGCAGCACAGAGGGCAGGTGAGGGGGGGAAGTGGACCCCAGCCCAGCTCCCCCCCAGCCTAGGTCTGCAGGCAGTAAATGCCCCAAGGCAGGGACTTCCCTCTCGTGCAGCCCTGCTCTGTCAGGCAGTGAATGCCCCAGCAACACCCCCCTGCCCCACCAGCTCCCCACCTCTCAGCCCCACTCTCTGCCCCCACCTGCTGTGCAGACCCCAGCGGGAAGAGGGCTGTCTCCCCCCACCCTCTTGCCCCGCGGTGGCTGAGAGGTGGGAGGATGGCAAGAGGGCAGGGCTGGGGTGTTCACTGCACAACAGCTGGGAGGCATGTGGGAGCACCCCCTGCCTTCTGGCTTTGGCCACTGCAGGCATTTGTCTGTCATGGCCAGTAGAGGAGTGAACATGAGTTGTGTTCATTAATGGGCCAATCTCCACAGTTTAGAGAAACCTACATGAAGTGGATTGATTTCACCTCAGGCTAAGTACAGATGGTCAGAAAGCCTATGTGGCCCATACAGTGTGTGGTCTAAGCCAAAATTGAACAGCCCTGTTTTAATCCAGGAAATGGGTCAAAATTAATTCAAATTGGGCTTAGTTTTAAATACATCTAAAGTGGATATTTTTTCAAACTCACAAATAGGTACCTTTTGACATTTAAGATCATCTCACTTAATTTTTAAACTTGTTATTAAAAGAAAAGGAAACTTATGAAAGTGCCAAAGTGGATAATCATGTCAAAAACCAAACACTGGAATAAGTTTAGATGGAACTATACCCTGTACTGTAGAGAGGCCCCCAAAATAAGGTACTGAGGCACCTTGATAGTGGTTCTGCCTTTGTTGCAGACTGTCATAGTTGCAAATGAGCTCAGTGCAAGTTTATTAGCCTCCCAAGAAGCTCTTAGTTTTTAGATCATGAGCTGATTTATTCACAGCTTGTTCAGGTGCCTCTACATAACACAGGATAGACATACTCAGTAGGTTTTGGAGAAGCTTCTGGTGCCTGATTTCATGCCATTTCTGATCTTTGCTTAAACTACAGTCTTCAAACCCAAATGCTGTTAATTTGATGTCTTTCAAACATTAAACATTAATAACATCATTAGAATTACAGTGCACGCTCTAAAATGAGCTAGGCCAATGCAACTAATTTAGCTAATGCACATTGTAGCTGTTCTCTTAAGCCCCATCCTGTTTTCAGCTATCTGTCAGTGCCCTGTGTCAATGCAGAACTTTAGTGCTAGGTCAGGGCTCTACTCAGTAAAAGGTTGTTTCTTAGTATATTACACCAGTGCTTCATATTCTCTTCTCTTCATACTTGCATTTAATTTATTAGTACAAGCTAAGTGACTTGTTGAAGCATGTAAAACCCCTGCTGGTTTGAGAAGCCAGCATTTGAGGAATTGTCTGGCTTCATGTTAGACTCGTTTCCACTATCTCAACTCTATCTTTTGTCCAGGAGATCCAAATTTTGATCCTCAGGGCATGCTGTAAATTTAATTTGCCACAGTCTTTTAATACTGTATTTTCTCACATGTAACGTGCCCCCAAATATAATACACACCTTGTTTTTGGAAAACATTACGAAGAAGAAAAATATTCCCAACTCATGGTTGCAGAGAGCAGGGATAAGGCTTTATCTTCAGCTCATTCACCCTTCCTTTCCTGCTTAACTAAAACCCAGGCTGCTGCTGAAGACTGGTTTCCATGGGTAGACTTCTGAACTTGGAAAGAGCTAAAAATCTGTGAAATAGAAGACCAGAAGCCCTATCAGACAGCAAAATTTCTCTAAGGAAGGTTAGCTTCAATAGTGGAAGTCAAGATCATTAAAAGGAGATGTAATTTTTAATACCTGTGAAACAAAGAACAGTGGACCATTAACTCAGCGGCCTTAATAGGGGCCGTTGACTCCCTCAGCTGCCTCAGGAGTAATGTCACAGATGGTGAACTGTGGAGCAGGGAGTACAGTAGGGTGCGTCTGTCTCAGGCAAAAAAAATTCAGCTTCCTCACTTAATACATACATCTCAATTTTAGGGGGCTGATTTTAGGGGAAAAGGTGTGTGCTGTATGTGAAGAAATATGGTAAGAGGAATCTTGAATAGTGGGGTTTTGTGGAGGTTTTTAGTTGATATAATCTTAAATTAAATTTTTTTTTTAACCAAATACAAATGGCATGTATGCATAGAGGTCCTGTAATAAGTACAGTACATCTGTTGAAAGAATTGTTTTAATGGTTATTTAAATGTTAAATAAGGTGTGCATTGATGGTACCTGTATTTAAGGGAAAGATAAAATTGCTTTGGTAATTGTTATTTGGTTTTCTTTACTATAGGTAATGAATATTCGAAAAGTTCTAAACCGACTAGATAAACCAGAAGGACTTTACCCTAACTATCTCAATCCCAGCAGTGGTCAGTGGGGCCAGCGTAAGTTCTTTAGTTCTTCAGTACTCTTAAATAGCTATTAACATGCTATCTCTTTATGTTAAAAAAACTAAATTAGTTTCTTTCATTGTTACCTACTGCTGTTCCCCCACATAAGCTCTGCATGTATTTTGCTAAATCCGAGTCCAGCTTGACTTGTTTAGTAATTTTTCTTCCTCTCTGATATACTTTGATTAGTTTCTTTGACCTCTTAGTAAATTTAATGAAAATGAGAAGCTTTTGAATTAATCTGTTTGTTACTAAAATTGTCTTTAGTCTGTGAAAGGTTTTATATTGAAAAATCTTATATTGGACCAAATCCTATGTTGATCTAAAGTGGTGTAGCTCTGTTGAAGTCAATAAAACTGCCAGTTAATACCAAATGAAGATTTGCCCTCGTTTTTCTACAGCTGTGCATGATTCTGGTACATTTAATGATGCTGGCAGACAATTAAGAAGGTAAATGAACTACAGCTGTGTACCTTTGGTTTCATGGAAATCATTATTGGAAAAATCAAAGTCAAAGGGGATGCAGGTGTAGAACAATCTTTTCAGGCCTTTTAAGTTTCTGGCCCCTATACATTCATTCAGTTTTTCTTCCACAAACATGCTTCCTACTCATCTACCGCAGGTTGGGAGATGGAAAGGTTGGGCTAGAAGATGTTATTAGCAGTCCTGGGCACCCACTTCCTTTTTTAGTTGGGTGCAATGTTAAATTGAAATACTGAGGTTGGGTCGGGGTGGGTTGAGTTGAGTTGGGTTTTTTTCCCACCTTTCTTCCTTTCCTTCAAATGCTGTTGCATTTTCTCTAGACTTTTTTCCCTTGTACTGGTTATAGTGATAGGATCAGGCGGTACAGCTGAGTTCAAAACCTACCAACTTTGGAATCAGTTAAACAAAGAAACCCAAGGGCCAGAGCATGTGGAATCCTTGCATAATAGAAGATGCTTAGAATGCTACTACTCTGGAAGTGATGGCCCAGTGTCCTTACTGGCCTGTTTGCAGCCTGATTTTAATGGAATAATTTTCCCCAGGAACAAAGGACAGTGATTGTTTCAACTGATAAAAGAATGTCCTTAGGTCATTTTTAAATGCAAAATATCCAGATAGGAAATGGTGTTCTGCCATATTGTCCAAGAAAGACCATTCCCAGAACCCTAAATATAGGCATCACTCTGTATTTTAAGAAATATCCATCTTCTAATGTCTTGGGGCTATTTGGCACCATGCTCTGGCCTAGACAAACTCAGTTTATGTAATTCCTTTGTCTGCATTTCTTACATATTCTTAAATAATCGTGTAAATGTAACAAAGTAATAATGCCAAGCATATGTACAAGTCAAGGCAACCTTTTTAATTTCTTATCTATATTCGTTTAGCAAGACTTAGCAACACTAAAGCATCACTACTCTGGCATTGAGAGAAGTTATATACAATTGGAATAGCTCACTTAGTAGAAAAGTTCTTACTAAAAGCTGCCAGTATATATCTTTGTGAATCAAATTCTGATACAGTTACTTGGAGTTTTGGTGCTTTCCTATTTGTCAAAATATATTTTTAATGTAATAGTGTCTCAAAAGCTCCTTTTTTATATCAACTACCCATAGTTACAGGTGAACATAAGAAAACTTGTAGTTTATATGGTCTTCTCTTTCCAGTGGCATGTAAAGAACCCATAGAAATTAGCTCCTTGCTCATGTAAATGATAAACATAAATGATAATATAGGTCAGTTCATGGCATGTTGAACCAGCAGAAGGATTCCAGTGTTGCTTCTGTTCCAACTCAATTGCATCTGTTTCCAAACTGATTTTTCACATAGGGAAAAAACTCAGAACATAAGATGAAAAAAGATGTTTCATTGCAGATTGCTTTCCGGCCTTTTTTTTTACTGGTTACAACAAAAAACCTAATTGCTAAAACACAGAAGTATTATCTCTCAAACATCAACCAAGGAAAAATAAAACAGCTTCTGTTTCACTAGCAGTGCTGTAACTCTGAAGGACATTGCTGGATCAAGGCCATTGTTCCTGTAAATTCATTTAGTCCTTGTTATTTTGACAGTAAACTGACAGTGATTTGCTGCAGCATGCGTCAATTGGATTTGTCTCTTGCAATAATGTATATAATAACAGGGCTTATTATTGATGAGATTGTGCTTGTGCTATTTAGTTTGCAAATGTCAGGAGTTTCTATGGTAATTTATTTAGGAAACCATAAAGGTCATTTAAATGCTGCTACTTGGAGATCAGCCTTCCATCATGGAAAATGCATTCATTTTTTAAGAAGCTTTTTTTTCCTTTTGGAACATGAACAAAAATTAAAATGTTTTTACAAGAAAATTTTAAAAACTCTTCATAATCCTGTCTCACCTTCACGTATTTGTTCAGGATGGAATAGAAGGAAATGTTTTAGAGATCTAAACTAGATGTTGTACGTCCCAAGGTAGCAGCGAGAAAATATTTTGGTGAAAAAGCTGTGGCAATAAAGCTTTAATGGCAGTAAAAATAGTTTCTGCATTTACCTGATTTCCTAGTGCATAAGGTGAGCAATTCTGTGAAAGCACCCCATGAGAGGAATAGTAGAGAGATGTTAAAAAATCCCAGATTTATTGTTGAACTTTATCCAGAAGAAAGGAAAACTTTGCGGTTACAATCCAGGTATAGGAGTCCAGGACCATGGGCTTTATATCCTCCTGTGCCACGGACTCTCAGTTGGTGTCCTGCTTTCCCTCTCTGTGAAAACAGTTTAAAACATTGACATTTGTTAAGGTACTTTGAAATCCTCTCATTGAAGGTGTTCAGAAAATGCTAATATTAATAATAATGATTAGTAGAGAGCACTAATTGTCAAAAAGGAAACCCTTAACACTCCAGATCTAAAAGTGCCACTGGTGGTAGTGAAGGGAACATAAAGAGAAACTTGAGTCATATTTGTAATATTTTAAATATTTAATAAGTAGGAATATATTGCGCTTCTATGATGGCCTACTAAAAACTTGACAGTCACTTTAGGTACTTAGGTAAGGGGATAACCCTGCTGGAGTCGTCAGTAGCTTTATTCATATGAACAGTCCCATTGTCACTAAGAGGAGTGAAGTTTAGTTGTGTTGCATTATGTAACTCTAAATATTTTAGTTAGACAACTGAGAACTACTGGGACTTGTGCTTAAGTGTATTTAAAAGTTCCACCACAGAACAACTTAAATATAATCCATGTTGTTGATGTTAAAAGATGACTTGAGGAAATAGAGCACTACTGAAAAAAAATTAGATGAGGATGCCAACAGGATACAGTGGGGAAAAACTCAGTCAGAAATGGGTTTTTTACCAACTTTTTACATTTAAAAATAATTACAGTACAATATAGTTATACAACTCCTATCTATTTCAGACTGGAAGAACTAATGGAGACTTCATTTTTAAAATTTCGTTACCATGGACTTTAGTGGCACTCTGTATAAATTATAGTAAAGCTGCTTTCTCCCACCGTGTTATGTCACCATACAGGTTTAAAGACCAACCATTTATTTTACAAATATTTTCGTATGCATCATAAATTAAGAGTTTTTCCTGAGGTGTAAGGCTGTCTGTCTGTCACAGGATTTACTGCTGGGAGGCAAATTTAAGCATTTTAATCTATCACAGGTTCAAACTGTAATTATATTTTATTGCCCAGATCAAACCTGGAATTGTTTTTTTTAATTCCTTTTCCTCCTTTTTCAGATCATGTCTCCATTGGAGGGCTTGGAGACAGTTTTTATGAGTATTTGCTCAAGGCATGGCTGATGTCAGACAAGACAGATGAAGAAGGCAAGAAAATGTATTATGATGCTGTTCAGGTAAATGAGATATTTAAATCTTCCTTGCCATAATAATCTAATCTGTAACTTTCCTAAAGAAACAGGCTCTAGGGAGAATGTGCAGGATTTATGTCTTTGCTATCACAGTGAATACATTTAAAAGAAATAGTGTTAGAAGAATTGCTTATTAACTATAATTGAGAACAATGACTTTCTGGTGTGGGAGGAGAAAAGAACCTAAAACTAAAATAAAATTATTTAAAATAATTAAAATCATCACACACATTGTAAACATGGGAATAGAATGTACTTTAGTATGTGATTTTTTTTTTTAGACAGTTTTTTCTTCAAGCAATGTCAACTGCAATTCCATTTTTTTTCGCAGTGACATAAATTAGATACTTTTTTCCATTTGCCTTACATTCATTGCAGAGGGAATTCCTCTGCAATGAATTTTATCATTCAGTACCTAAAACAGATTATATCAACTGCTACAGTATTTTGAGTGCAATCATAATAGTGGGTCAGGATGTAATTAGGGCCCCTCTACACATGTAGGTAACGGTACCATGGGATCGAACACAGGATCCACACAATCGTGCCTCTTGCCGTGCCGCACATGCATGGCAGGAGGTGCAATTGTGGGATTGTGCATTAGATCCCACTACACCATATTGTCAGTGCAGAGGGAGCCCGACTAGTGCAGTATTGGTTCTTGTGGCTTAGTTAGGATCTGAAAGTAAAGTCATATACTCTTGCCCAAAAATATGTGGGGAAAGATGCATTCTGGCCACTGACGAGGATACAAAGATTCCTGAACATCTTGAGGATGATAAGAAATCAGTCTGAGGGTTCAGTTCTTTCTCAGTTTGTCTAGGCTTCTCTTGGCCTGACAGCTTCATATCCATGGATTCTGGATTGAGCATAAGCCATGTTTTTTGTACCTGAGTTCTGATTTGCTTTCAGACGCTGCAGGAAAGGGAGACAACTTTTCCTTTGCTGGATACTGAAACAGGGCTGTGTGTAATGATGAAACTATAATCCATAGTACCTTTTGCTTACCCCAGCAAGCCTTACCTACCAACAAGGCCTAGTTATTAAAGAAAACTTTTACCAATCATGATGATATATTTAAAGCAACACATTTATAAAAGCAACACTTTTATTGCAGAACAAATAGGGGTTTTCTTTGGTTTAGTTTAAACCCTTTCTTAAGGAATGTCAGTTAAGCTACAAAAGGCTGCTGCCTTTTTCAGTAAGTGTGTCCACACAGCATTGTAACTCTCCAGCCATTGGTTTAAGCTTAAATGTAAGTAGGCCTGGATTTGCTTTGCTAAATAGACAAGGCCTAGGGATTCAGGTGAATGTGCCTCTACAGAGGAGAATGCCAGCAAAAACAGGATACCGTGCAACATAAACTCTTACTGTGCAACATAAACTCTACATGGCTTTTGCGGTACCTCAATCTGAGCAGTTTGCAGTGCCACAAACTACACACAGCACACATGCACCCATTGCACTGCTAATTAGAAACACCGTGGCAGGGGTTTGACACTGGGATCTCTTTAGCTACTGGCCAGGCTTCAAACATCTGGATCGCTGCCACAGGAAGCCCCCAGGACCCCAGGTAAGGTTGCTAGGGTCCCAGCCTCCCTTACCCAATGTGGGACAGTTTGCCCTGCACCAACCCCACATGCAGGGGCACGTTCACTAGCAAAAAGCAGTAGCACAGATTTGTGCCACTGCTATTTTTTGCCATGGCAGCCGCACGACCCTGCACATGGGAATGCACCTTTAAGAGCTAAACCAGTTCTTCTCTGTTAGATATTTAGGTGGGCACAGTGTGAGCCATTGCTGTCATTAAATCTGACGCCACTAACACAGATGGGGGTTTTTTCACCTTTGTAATAAGATTTATATCTAAGATATAATATCCGTCATGTTTTGTCAATAATATCTTTTTGATTGTCCAGCAGAATTAGAGACAGTGGTAGTGAGTGAGCTTGTTAGTGTCAAATGATCACTAAGTGGCATTCTCTTCCCTATGTGGTCATCTAAGTGTCCGGATTAAGTTATCTACTTGGTGTTTTTGATAATCTTAAGTGCCAAAAATGCCACCTACACACGTTAGAATTCTAATACTGGGTCCATAACCCACACACACAGACAGTTATGCACAACTAAGTATTTGTGCAGACTAGCATGTGCAGTAATAGCTGAGGCCAATACACACTCCTTGTGGACCCCTTAGAAGCCTGAAACTGGAGTCAATTAAAGCCTATGACTACCAGACTTAGATATGGGAGGGGATGGGTCTCTCTCTCCTCTACCTCTTCCCCTCCCCCAACCACCAACTCAGTAGCTAGGGTAATCCTTGCCCACAGGAGATATGCTCTTTAGGAAAAAGATGGGAGATTGGTCTCTCCTTCTCCCTTTCTCTCTCCTGGCAGTGCTTATGCTCAGTTTGCACATGTATGTAGATGACCAAATCTGAATGCTTAGATGATCAGGAAAGAATACAATTCCTCCATAAGATAACAATGAATAATCTTCTCCTTGTGATTACCTTGTCAGTTAGAATGAGCTTCTTAGTGTAGGTGTTGCTATAGTTTTATTGTTGCAACTTCCAGGTATTTCCAGGCCACCACTGCAGGTTCAAGCACACTAGATATGTAGCTACATGTGCAATTAAGGGGACTCAATAAAATCTAGAGCTATTTCAACTGGAGTCATCTGCTCCCAGGTACAACATCTTCACATGTCCTCAGTACACCAGCAGCTGGGGCAGAGCAGCCCTGGGCTGGCAGCAAGCCTGGAGGGTCAGCCCTGGGCTCCAGGTGGCAGGATTGGGCAGCAGAGGGGCTAGCTGGGACACGAGACTGCTGAAGTGTGGAGCCGTGTGGCAGGCAGCCCCTGCATTTTAGCATCCTCATGTCCCAGCCAGCCCCTGTCACCATCCACACGTGTAGAGTAACTGTGTCAGCAGAATAACTGCGCTGTAAGATAATACTGTCCCTGACAGCCCTATCCTGTGGCGGAGTTAGTTAATTTACTGCACCCTGATACCAGCACACATGTAGATAGCGAAGTTTTACTATGGAATTAATTAATCATCTCCACAGTAAAGTGCACATGTAGATGCACCCACTGTGAGCGAAAACTAGGATAGCTTTATTCACTATCGGTCTGGGTAATCAAGCTGACTGACAGAAGGGATAGGCGGAAGGGTACATACATCCAAAGTCTCTCAAAATCAGGCATATTTTATACATACGTTATTCCTTAAGTAATTCCATCACAAGCTGATACACATTAGACTGCATAGATTCATTTTCTGATCATACATTTGCTGTCTAGTTAAAATATTGATTGCACAATAGGCATGCATCTCTCAATACCTAAATGGCTTTTACGTTTTGATACTTTATGAATGGAATGTGTTTGTTATGCTCCTGACTCATCCTGCTGGGTACCAACTCGACCAGACACAAATTGCTTTCATAGATTTCATAGACATCAGGGCTGGAAGGGACCTCGGAAGATCGAGTCCAGCCCCCCGCCCAAAGGGCAGGAAGTCAGCTGGGGTCATAGGATCCCAGCAAGGTAAGTATCCAGTTTCATCTTGAAGGTGTTCAATGAAGGCGCTTGAACTACCTCCGGTGGCAGGCTGTTCCAGACCTTGGGGGCTCGGACAGTAAAGAAGTTCTTCCTTATGTCCAGCCTGAAACGATCTTGAAGTAGTTTGTGACCATTCGACCTCGTCATCCCTTGGGGCGCTCTGGTGAACAAACGTTCCCCCAGATGCTGGTGGTCACCCCTGATAAACTTATAGGTGGCCATCAGATCACCCCTGAGCCTGCGCTTTTTCAGGCTAAAGAGCCCCAGGGCTCTCAGCCTGTCATCGTAGGGTCTGCTTCCCTGACCTCTGATCATGCACGTGGCTCTTCTCTGGACTCTCTCAAGCTTCTCCACATCCTTTTTGAATTGTGGAGCCCAAAACTGGACACAGTACTCCAGCTGCGGCCTCACTAAGGCCGAGTACAGGGGGAGAATGACGTCCCGGGATTTGCTTGAGAGCAAAAATAAAAATGTTTGTGCACTCCCTGCTCCTCCATTGCAGAAATCTATTTTAATCCGTTTTTAAAAACACACTTATTCTCTAAAGCAATTGGCTCCAAAATGTGGTACCTCTACTTTTGCTATTTACACACTCTCCTTTTTCATCCCTAAAGCTATTTCTTTCGGATTTGGGGGTTCCCAGTTCCTGTCATCTTGCTTTAGTTCAATCTATTCTAGATGGAGCTTTACCTGACGATTGCCTAAAAACGAGGCGCTGAACGCCGCTGCTTAGCGGCGTTCCTGTCAGAGAGTGCATTTTGCACGGGTTCTGTGATTTGGATTGACATACCACTTGTTTCTGTATAAATATGAACTCGCCATTTTCTCAACCTCCTGAAACCCTCAATATTTTGGATCTTGGAAATGGCCCGTCTCCTTATATGGTACTGGAGCAGCCGCTAAAGTTAGAGAGAGAGTTTTGCTAAAAGCTCTTTCCATTCTGGTGTTAGAAAGGAAAAAGGAGAATTGGCAATTGGGAAATTCAAGTGCAACTGCTTTCTCCGCTTGGTTCAGTAGAGGCAGAGTTGCTTGCTGGCATTCAGAACTCACTCTCTATTCTCCAAATAGTTTTGAAAAATAACAGGGTTCAGAAGGATGCCAAGGTGGGCTAAGTGGAGAAACGTGAATGTAGTGGGTAGGGTGCGTGAGAAAGTCTGTTACTAGAAATGGATTTACCCTGATCTTGCAAGCTGCTCTGCAAGGGGGGATTCCTGCCCTGCAGGAAATCAATGGGGTCTGTGGGATGGAAGGGACAACCCAGCTTTTGGCATATTTTCCATACTCTATGGACCCCTGGATTTGCAGTTTAGTACATCTACACAAACAGCCATCTATCTTATTCTCATCCTTCTAGAACCACATGAAGGCTGTCACTCCAGCTCATATGTTATTCAGAGTTAATTCAGTGTCTGCAATTTTAG